TGATACACTCGCACACCCGCGTTGTACTTGATTACGCGCTCGACAAGGATTGATTTCGTCAGGCAACATCTTCGTTAGCGTTCTTAGTAATTCTCACCAGAATTCAACGCGTTTCTACAGCGTTGAATTTGGACCTGGACGTCCGTTTGATTGGCATTATGTTGCCAAAGACCACATGCTCCTGTTTCAGTTAAACTAAATCGTTAAGTTAATAAGCCTTTCCGACCAAGGCGCGAAAAAGCTGGTGCTTGCCACCGGATTCTCGACCAGGGAGCAATATCTCTTGTTTATTCTCTACCAAATGTAACAAAAGAGGTGACATGTCACCGCAAATAGATGCTGCTTTTGCCAGTCTTTAAAGTCAACGAGTCTGTCCGTATCATGTTGAAATGGCTGTATTTACTGCAACCCCTGTGTAACCTGTGCTAAGAAAAAATCTAATTCAGCAAACTCAGTTTTTATGCCCGTTCATGTGATGGTTGAGAAGGGATAAAGTTTGAATTTTCAAAGGTTGTGCTTATGAAACACACGCATCTTTATTCCTGCGGTTTATTCACGCTATTCACAAGCCTACATCATGACCTCTATGTACTTTGATACTTTAGAAGCGCTAGGACGCATTCTCATAGGGCTATGAAAATAGATTACTTTTATATAAAGAGCATGCGACCCTTTCAAAAAAGTTAAACTGCAGCCTGTTTCAACATTTGCAGGTGCTACTATTGAGCAGGATTTAACGATAGGTTACGGTATCTATAGGTTCACCCACGATATCGGTCAAATATTTCTGGTTACGAAATCAAAGGAATTACTTTTGAAGCACATAAGGCTTTGCGACACCGCGAAGAAACGGGCGGACAGCACGCCAACATAGCCGTAGTCAAGATCCTTATAACACTGCCTGTGATCCGCCGTGACTTTCGGTTATCTACTTGCGCCCGTAGAAAAACCCAACTTTACGTCAGTTAAAATTATTTGCGGCAGAGTGGAGGGGGGAGTACCCAGATTCCCAAAAAATCATTATTTTCTTGGTCCTTCTTGCATGTTGCTAAATTTGGACCAGTCTTGATGTTTTCGTGGTATTCCACCATGCATCCTGATCGGCCACCGGTACTTCTGGTGAGTGGAATTATATACAATGACAAAACCCACCGAACACAACGGTTGACCACTGTTGCCGACACAAGGGCTTCATGACTAAATACTGCATCCATTGGTATTTACGCACATCTTGGCACACAACGAAGTGATTTTCCAGTACAACTATGGCGAATAGTTGAGACGGCAATGTGACAGAGGCTGCTTCTTGTTATTCATCACTTGGCGATTTGTCGACGAAACGGTATCATTTGAAACGGCGGGTGCGGTTTCTATTAAACAGTGTGGTTAGAGATGCCTCCACTGGGTTAATTGGTGCTGTCAAATGGCAATCGTATGCTTATGCTGGAATGAAGGCTGTCGTCGCTCTAATGCATACACCTTCTTAGATTTGCTTATCTCATCAGGGTGGTTGTGAACAGGCAAACTGATAGCTGCAAGCACCAAACCTGTCTGGTCCCGAAGCTAGATAGAATGTCTATTTCATCGGAACCAATTGTTTCGTAGGGACGTTTTTGATCACGCTCTGGCTTCATCCAATCAGTTGGTTGCTTTTCAGTCTCCTTTTTATAATTTCTAGCGAACTCTGTGCCTGTCAGTGTCCATCAGTCATACTGAAGAATTCGTTGCCGTCGCGTCGTGCCGTATGCCTGTTATTATAGTACGGGCGTCTGTAACTCTGGTTTTCTCAAGGAATAGCAACTCATACTGTTAACCGGTCAGCTTCTCCTACTAGGTTACTTCTCCTTTCATCGGCACTTGTTTTAATTTTGCGCACTTTGGGATCAAATGCTTCTGGCTATGCTATTAGTAACCTTGATTTAGGTGTACCCATCATGCAACCTATGTCTGTGCCCCT